TACCAGCTTCATCACTGTGTCTGTCACGCGACTCTGTTCCCCTTTCAGGCTCTGTCTTTACATTTATTTTGAAAGATGAAGCTCGCGATTATGGTAAGGGGCGTTACATTTTCTACGAGTGCTTGCGGTGTTCGGCCAATCACAATGCACTGGGTCAGCTGGCCAATCAGAGCAGACTGCGCTTGTCGGAAGGAGGGACTTTGTAGAAAACGAAGCGTTTGAGAGAGGTGGGGCATAGAGGACCTACAATAATGTACAGTATTTGAAAAATAATGTGTTTTTTGAACATTAAAACATGTCAACATATTCTGTTACACCAAATACACAAAATAATGATCTTTAAAAAAGCATCATATGACCCCTTTAATATTAAACATGTTACATTTCCCTTATTGTTTGCACTATTGATATGACACTGCTTGTTGAGAAAGGGTGTGCTGTTACTTAAGTGATCTGATTCATGATATTTGCTCAGTGGATACAAAATTCCATAGGTCCAGTGACCTAAAAACACTCAGAACACCTTAGCAGCTGTTTCGCAACACCTTGGAAACCACCCACAACATTGTAGAAACCATATTGAGTCATTTGTGGTTATATGTTTTGAAATAGTTCTTTTTTTTCTGCAGGTGATAAAGGAGTTTGCAACAGTCGATGTGAAAGTTGTGCTTGCTGGATGTAGCAGTAAGTAATTAATTTAATTTTTACATAGATTTATATTTATAATATAATATTTTTAACTCAATCTGAGTGGAAACTTGCTGGATGTAGCAGTAATTAATTACATTTATACATTTCTATATAATTTAATATAATGTAATATAATAAATAATATAATAAACAAACCTCTTTTCTTTGAATAGTATTATTTAAATACAATCATTCCACAATTGTTTTTTTTTTTTTTTTTTCTATTTTCCACTCGATTAACCTCATGTGATGGTTTATTTTTTGAGAATTTTTTTGTAAACTTGGTTTTGTTATTGTTAATGTCTGACACGTTTTCTTCGGGCAATTTGGTGTCTTAATATAATAATAATATTTTTTAACTCATACTTGCTAGATGTAGCCGTAAGTAATTAATTACATTTAAACGTACATACATTTCTATAAAATAATTTAATACAAAATGATATAATATGATTGAGTTCATATGCTTTATGTAGGTTAAAGTTCATTCTGATATATTTGTTGAATGTGGCAAACATCTCCACCTAGAGTTGGAACTAATAAACCATCATGTGGACAAGTCAAACTAATGTTTATGTTGATATTAACAACAATTAATTTGTAATGTTACAATATATTAATGTAACTAATACATTCTTTTCTTAGATCCTTTTAAGATCTTTTATATGTTTGTGTGTTGTGCAGGGACTCTGCTCTCTGATCTCAGGACACTAAAATTCTTCTGTGAGCCCGTGACCCCTGACCTCATTTTCCCCACCATTCATGACGCAGTGTTGCATTGTAAGCGCTCTGAGGGACGTCCCCGTCTGCCCTGATGTCCAGTGAACACACAAACCAAACTGAGGGGCAGAATATGGATAGAGTCGTGCTGAAACGAGCACAAGTACTGTTACTTATGAATCACTTTAGTGATGGATATCACTTTAGGATGTCATGATAACAAGGAGAGTTTTAGCAGTGAGCAGGCCAAAAAGTTTTAGATGGAAACACTTTATTTAATGTGAATATACCAGCAAATGTTGACCTTAATCTGATTGGTGCTGTTTTATTACACTAGACATAATCGCAAGCTCCACTGCAATTTGTTACTGACGACTATAAAACACTCTGTACCTTCAATTCTTTTAAGTGCAATTAGTGTAGATGGATTCTTAACCAGTGTTTATTTTTTAGCACTAGTTTAAATCTTTATATTGACATTCCAGTAAGCTTATTTTTATGATAGAAATTAAGTTTTACAATTGTACACCATGTGCTAGTTTTTCTTTTTGCTGTATTTAATTTTTATTTTATATTTTTGGAAGTCTGCAGTTTTTCATCTGACTGTAGTATTCAGTAAAACAAGTGCTAATATGTTACATATTTTTAAAGACCTGATCACATAATTGCACTGTTGGTGAAGATGCTGCTTTTCGTTTCATGGTATATACTTTAATCTGATGTTTCTGAGAAAACGCTTGCCAGATATTGATTGTATTGGTTTGTTTTAGGTTTTCCCCCTTCTCAACTCAATCGGTGACACATTTGGCTAAAGGCTTATCTAGGTTGCTCCAAGGGTTCTTGGAACCAATTTCAATTTGTTTTTGTAGCTACAAAGAACATTATTAACATAAAGGGGTCTTGGTTAGTGATTACTGAAACAGCTGATTCCACAAATTCTTGAAAATTCAATTCAGGTGTTCTTGTTTTTAGAACCTTACATGGAAAGTCCACAGGCTAAGACTGTCTTGGACATGTTTGACACACATGCTGCCTATGAAATGTCCACTCCGAGCACTTTTTGTTTCAAGTCAAGTGTTCACACACAATTACCCATCGATTTGAGATTTTTCTGTACTAATATTTAGATGCTGTTTCATTGTAGTAATGAAGACCAAAGCTCAACAATCAGTTGCGCCTGCATGTAATGTGGTGCATTTTATTGTCTTTTTATGCTGGTGTGGATTTAAGATATTTTTGTATAATAAAAGCAAATCAGTACTCTAAATTATTAAACATTTATTCCTCAAAAGTGCCTTTCTATTTATATAATTTTCTACATTCATTACTAATTTATTACATGTAACAGGTCTACTAACCTGAAGAAGGGGAAAATATTTATTTAATATTAAGCAATAAAAAGAAGACAATTAGTAAGGATAATGTTTTTATTTAATAATTTGATATCACAGGAAAAATGACAAAGCATATGAGAATCCTTGAATAATCAGGCAAAAAAACTAACATTTAAGTGGGGAAAAGCACATAAGAGGAAAAAGTTTAGTTGTAAGTCATGTAGCGAGGGGTGGCGCTGAATTTAGCGTAGGATTTGATGACCTTGTTCACGGCCTCCAGAAAGTCTTTCTCTGTAGCGATTTTTCTACGAGCTCTGATGGCAAACATTCCTGCCTCTGTACACACGCTGCGAATCTCAGCACCTGAGAGAAGAAAAACACAGCAATGTTAACTATAGCTTGCAAGGCCTCTACCTTTAGGTCTATGCAAATATTGTCTATTTAAATTGTGTGCACTCACCTGTGCTGTTAGGACAGAGACGTGCAAGAAGCTCAAAGCGGATATCTCTTTCCACACTCATAGAGCGGGCATGAATCTTGAAGATGTGAGTACGTCCCTAGAAACAGAGCGCAAATGGTTACATACATTTACATATCTATCAGAATATATTATATACTACATGTCTATCTTTATCCAGTAAATTGTAGCTATTTTGTCACTATTGTAGCTAACACTCACTTCCAAGTCAGGCAGGCTGAACTCAATCTTTCTATCCAGACGGCCGGGTCTCATCAGAGCAGGATCCAGGGTGTCTGGTCTGTTGGTGGCCATCAGGACTTTAATGTTTCCTCTGGGATCGAATCCATCCAGCTGGTTGATCAGCTCCAGCATGGTTCTCTGCACTTCATTATCTCCTCCAGCTCCATCATCAAAACGGGCACCTGTAAGACGGCAGCGTAAGCATAATAACTGAGACTTAATATAGAGGTAAAATCTTTGAGACAAAAACAAAAGCTAAGATTTTAAAGGGAAATTCCACCCAAAAAGGAATATTCTGCCACTTACTCACCCGCATGTCATTCCAAACCTGTATGCATTTCTTTCTTTTGCTGAATACAAAAGAAGATATTATGAAGAATGTTGGGAAGTTGGTAGTTCCCATTTTTTATCCATAGAAGGGAAGTTAATGGGAGCAGGAACTATTTGGCTACCAACATATCTTTTGTGTTCAGCAGAAGAACATCAGTCATAGTTTGGAACGATATGAGGGTGAGTAAACGATTACAGAATTTTCATTTTTGAGTTTACTATCCCTTTGTTTGAATATAATAAGATCTCTTCACACAGAGATGTGCTACCTTTCCTTTGTTTTTCTATGTAAACACTCTAGATGGACGTTTGATAAGTTTAAATTATTTTAACTTGAATGTCACACTTTTACAACACTGTCATGCAACAGACGCTGCAAAGGACTTGAGTGCAATGATCATACATGTCCATTTAGATTGTGTTAACATAGAAAAACAATGGAAAAGTAGCACAGTAGAATGGAAATATTAATAACATACTCCTAAGTCTTCTAAAACTATATTCAGGACTGGCTTATAGACGGGAACCTCAAGCCACACAGTTTGAGACCGCCAAAAGAAGCTGAAATCATCTGACCCTGACTGTAGCATCAGATTATTGCAAATAGGAAATGTTACCTCCAATGGCGTCAATTTCATCAAAGAAGATCAGACAGGCTTTCTTGGTCCTTGCCATCTCAAACAGTTCACGAACCATCCTGGCACCCTGGATTAAACACAAAAACATGTTGTTATAAACATTTTTCAAGCTAAAAGAAGATATTTTGAAGAATGCTGGCAATCAAAATAACTATAAACTCATACAGGTTTGGAAAGACATGAGGGTGAGTAAATGATGACAATTTTCATTTTTGGGTGTACTATTCCTTTAAATAACCTATTTTTTTAACAGCTTGATGGAAAAGGCACGTACCTCTCCTACATACTTCTGAACTAGCTCGGATCCGATGACTCTGATGAAGCAGGCATCGGTGCGGTTAGCCACAGCTCGAGCACACAGGGTTTTCCCTGTACCGGGTGGCCCGAACAGCAAAACACCCTTTGGAGGCTCAATACCCAGGTTCACAAAGCGCTCAGGCTGGAATTAGATAGATTAGAAGAAGATAGAGATTGATTTTAGAACTTAAGCAGTATTTCAGATGTGTAATACCTCCTGTTTGTTTTTAATAGGAACATTTGTATGTAGTCCTGACTCACATGGAGCAGAGGGGTCTCAACCACTTCTCTCAGCTTCTCGATCTGCTCTTTGCAGCCTCCAACGTCACTGTAGGTCACATCAGGCTTCTCCTCCACCTATTTATGTACAGTACATAATTATTCCTGCGGTGTTGCCTTGATAATGTACATGATCCCAAACAACTTAAGCGGTTTCGTACCTGCATCATAGTCACAGTAGGATCGATTTTGGGTGGCAGTGGAATATGGATCTGATACTTATTCCTGTCAACCCTGTTAACAGAATGCAACTCTTTTAGATACAAGCTGAAAAGTTTGTTAATGAAGTAAACGTAGAAATGTCTGATCCATCATTTCAGCTTACCCAACCCTCATTCCTTCCTCAATGTCAGTCGGAGCGACCTGATCGCTCAGGTCCACCACAAACTTGGCAAACTGTTTCACATTAATAATGTACTTTGGATCCTCAGAGTCAGAGTTGATTATCTTGGTGCATCTATGAACAAATAAAACCACAGATATTAGTTTTTTTAATGGCTGATACTGATCGACATAACATTCAACAACTTTATTACATATGATAGCACTGAAAAGTCTTGATTAAATGTTTTCTTATGCTTACAAAATTTGCATTTATTTGATCAAAACTAGAGGAAAAACTGTAATATTGTGAAATATAATATTTTATATCAAAGCTGAATTTTCAGCAGCCATTTCTTCAGCCTTCATCTTACACGATCCTTCAGAAATCATTCTAATATGCCAGTTTAATGCTCAAGAAACATTTCTTATTATTATTAAGGTTGAAACCAGATGTGCTGCTTAATATTTTTTCTGGAAGCCATAAAAAAAATCTGGATTTTTTTTGATGAATAGAAATTCAAAAGAACAGCATTTATTCAAATAGAAGTCTTTTGTAACATTATAAATGTTTTAGTGTCACTTTTAATCCATTTAATGCATCCCTACTGAACAAAAGAATTATTTCTAAAAAAATAAAAAAAAAAGTTTAAAAAGGTAGTATATCATAAGCAAATAATCTATTTCTTTACAGGTAACCCTTAATAACTGAAATGTTTTTGTCCTCTCATACCTGGCCACCTGCAGTGGCTGTTCACTCTGTAGAGTCTGTTTGTCTGCAGCCAGATCCCATAATGCCGGAGGAGCCAGACCTGTATCAGACTCTTTAATACCTGCAAGACACACAAAATACAGCATCAGTGCATTTGTTTTACAAAGTAATTAGCCATAACTTCAGCTCCTCACAAAGAAATGACAGCACACTTACCTGTGAGCTCATTTATTTTCTTCAGAAGCTGTTGAATATCATCTTCCACTTGTTTAATCTGTCTGGAATAGGTACTTTGCCCCTATTCACAAACAAAAACAAGTGAATAAATTACAAATAACACTGCTGTAACTTATACTAAATGAAAGCCATCTGAATCTTTTTAGTACTAATACTTACATAGGTTTTCAGGAGTGCAATATCTCCTTCATCCAACGCTGAGAAATAAAACACAGATCAAGATAGATAAATAAATGAGATGTGCATGTTACAGGATGACAGACACAGCGTGTTTATCTTTCTCTAATAAGTCTGTTCAGGCTAACAGACTGACATAGCTAATACTGAGACATTTGACAACTCATATAATGAACGTGGTAGAGTAAATACGTGAAATAAAGAATGACACAACATTAAAACAGTTTTAGTTAAGTAGATTCGGCTTTTGTTGACAAATTCCAACTGCACAGCGGCTAGTCAATAAATGCTAATCTGTCTGCTAATTTATAGAATTTAAAATCCACCCGAAAGTCTTCGCAAATAATACCTCGAATTGGTTTCTCTTCTTTCTCCTCTTCTTTTACTTTGCGCTGCTCGGTTCCTAAGTAATCAGGCATGACTGCTTTTTCTTTGTAATAAATTCGGTTAGTGACTGTAGAGGCAAGATTACACAGCAGGTTTTCAGACGAACAGTCACAGCGCTTTTCTGTTCCGGTGCGTAAGAACACAGGAAACGGCGAATGTATTTCAAATTAAAAGTTCCATTTCCCCCCCAACATCTTTTAATTTTTAACATTTGTACCTTTATGGTCATATAGACAGAAAGAGAGCCATTTCCACTCGTACAAAATAAAATTTTAATTATTTATGTACCTAATTTGGCATTTTACCTATTTGTTTATTTTAATTCGCTCTACCTTTTTTTCCACACTATTATTGGTTATCTATAAAAGTGTATATTATAGATTCAATAAATAAATACATACGTAAATCAATAAATAAATCAATCTGGCATCATGTTTGTATTGACAGAGCATATTGCGGGACTCTTATTTTGAAACACAACCGCTCCTTGAGTCATACATTCATTGTTTGCCTTTATCCATGTTATTGTTTTCATACCACAAATCTTCCACGGAAGGATTAATATTTGCTCTTTATAGTAGGTAAATTATTTGTTTGTCTTTTAAATAATATATGTACCTTGCAATGAACACCCTCTGTTATTGCATTTCTCTTA